TTTTTTTTTTTTTTTTTTTTTTTTTTTTTTGTTTTTCCCTCGTAGATGTCCATCGACTCGTGATTTACTCGACGAGAAACTAGACAATTGGGTCACAGCTGGCCCGAGCGAATACAACCCGCGGCGGGTTTCGCTAAGGAACACGCGTGGGTGAGACAAAAGCCGCGAGCCATTGCTCGGGGATGTTGGAAAGGCCTAATTGATTCGAATCGTTCGGTTAATTTTAGCATTTCCTACGCAGACTCGAGACTACATTCCCCATTCCCTATCTTTGCAAGCGGTTTCAGATTCGCGGTTCACCGATTTCCGTGCAGCTAACAAGCCTCGGCCCAAACCATTGTGCGGCCAATTCAATCGTGTATAAATAGAGATACCATCGAAACATAATTTTTTTTTAAGAATACGAATGCACATCAATTAATAAACATAATGAACGCGTACGTGCTACACACGATTGGAAAATACTTGGAAATATTTTTCACCTATATTGTTGGCCATAAATCTTTTACTTATATAAATCGATATGTTAAATTAATAAAAGAAAGATATTTAAATTCCCGAATTCACAACTATTTTCGTATATATCGTTGTTTCGTATTTTCTCTAAATGATTAAAGAAAGAACGGTCAATAAACAATCATAACGCGAACCGACAACTTTCTCGAGGAAACGTGAAACATCTAGAGAGGAACGTTTTCGCTTTTCGTCGAGAGAGCAATTCGAGCCGAATTTATCTTCGACGAGATTCAAGCAGGATAAAATCGCAGGAGTAATTTCCACATTTCCATTGCCACGTGTGTACAATGTTGGTACCGTAACTGGCGCGAAGCTTTTATATTTTGAAGCGTTATGAAGCTGCCCTCGTCCGGAAATAGTTGCGGTGCGCGTAGAGAAAACGCTTCGAGGATCATTTATCCGGGAACTTAATGGCGTGCAGGAATGTCGTCTCGAGGCTCGTTTGACGTTGACACCAAAATGGCGCCTCTCTCCGGAGGGAGGAGAGAGGGACACCGAAAACCTTTGAGGGCGATCGTCCCGGAAATTGATGCGTGCAGCATGCGTCGGAGGACACGTC